TGATCGAAACAAGTGATAGTCAGAGGAAGCAACGTCTGGAGAATACAGCGGGTGGGGTAGGACTTCCCATTTCAACGTTTCCAAGTATGTCTTGACCACTTTCGCAACATGGGGTCGAGCATTGTCATGCTGCAAAATCATTTTATCGTGTCTCTCGTTGTATTGCGGCCGTTTGTCTTTCAATACTCGGCTCAAACGCATTAATTGCGTTCGATAACGATCGCCTGTGATTGTTTCAATCGGTTTTAACAGCTCATAATACACTACGCCGAACTGGTCCCACCAAATATAGAGCATGACCTTGGAGCCGTGAATATTCGGTTTGGTCGTCGACGTGGAAGCATGGCCATGCCCATGGCTGTGGATATGCCCATGATTTTCTGCGCTTGGAGTTATCGTAATGAACCCATTTTTCGCCCCCAGTCACAATGCGATGCAGAAATCCCTTCCGTCTTTGCCTTTCAAGCAACTGTTCACAAGTAAACAAACGCCGTTCAACATCTCTCGGTTTCAACTCGTACGGCACCCAATTTCCTTGCTACTGAATCATTCCCATGTCTTTGAGGCGTTTCGAAATTGCTTGTTGAGTCACTCCCAATCATCGTGCCAATTCTTCTTGGCTTTGACACGAGTCTTCATTAAGTAATGCCTCCAATTCTGCATCTTCGAAAACCTCTCTTCCATCGCTATGCCAGTCTTCGACGTGAAAATCACCGCTCTTGAAGTGTTGAAACCACTCACGACACGTTCTTTCACTAATAGCGGCCTCACCATAAGTATTTGAGAACATTCGATGAGCCTTAGCCGCAGATTTCTTCATATTGAAGCAGAAAATTAAAACCTCCCGCAAATGACGAGAATTTGACTCATAAACTGACATTTTCAATCGAGAATAACTTTATGATGCAGACACAAATCGACTAATATTTCTATGGGGTTAGGTTGACAGATGCCCAAGTTTATTGCATGACGTCTATGATCTATTTATTTCGACCACTACTTACCGCTAAAGCCATCTATAGGAAAACGGCGGAAGCAAAGTTGTACACCTAATATTGTTTGTATATTATATATTGTTTTGGTTATTGACGTATGTAATTTTAATACTTTTCATTATATGTATGTAAGTTTAATTGATCTTCATTATATTAGTCATTTCAATTTTATGTATTGGTATACAATATACCAAAAGGTATTTACTCGTAGAACGTCAAATAAATAAATAAAAATAAATCGCAAGTCACAAAACACAAATCGCAGACGCAGAATATTGACCGAAACATGTAAAAATTTAACTACGAGTCTTGTGTTTCCTGTGCCTGGCCCGCAAAACATATGATGAGTCTTACTCGTTCTTCTTATATTTGGTCCGATATACGTACCACTGACTCGTGTTTCTCATGTTTGGCCCGTAAAACGTATCACATATCTCGCACGATATTATAGGACAGAGCTCGGCAAAATGTGCATGCGATGGCGACGGCGATCGGCGACGGCCGATTTTCGACTATCCCCGCCCACCGCTATTCCCTTTACCTCCCCGCTCCGCGCGCTGCCCACAAGCCGCTCGAGCCTCAGGAGCGTGTTTCCAATAGTTTTCCACGTCACACATGAGGTACTATTGTTGACGCGTTTTTTTTTAAGTGGTATCCCCAGTAGGCCTCTTCATTTTTAAAAAATTAAGTTTATAAAAAATGAGAAATGTTCTTCTTTAAGCGACGATTCCTTACCACGTCTTATGCGGCTACATGCAATATCCAAATTGACGTTTCCACTTTTAATAAAAGATGCCGAAAATCGAATTGAATATTCTTCATTTAACATATTTTATTTCGCTTCTGTTCAATTAGTTACGGGTTGTTACAGTCATCAGTGGATTAGGCTTACTGGGGATACCACTTGAAAAAAACACGTCAACAATAGCATTTCATGGATGACGTGGAAAACTATTGGAAACACGCTCCTGAGGCTCGAACGGCTTGTACTACATGGGCTGAAAAGTCTTTGGCCTGACATATAGATGGCGCCACAAACTAAAAATCCTTATATTTCCTATAGAGTACCAACCTTAACTTAGATGCTGTAAAAATTTCATGATATTTCGTTGACTCGTGTACAAGTTATAGCTTTCGAAGTGACGTTACCTCTGAATTTATCTTTACTATGGGAAAAAGTGAATTTCGTGTTTTGATTAAACATTGCTTCCTGATGGGAAAAAACACTGTTGAAGCAAAGGCATGGCTTGATAAATGTTACGGCACATCTGCCCCACCGAATTCAACCATCAAATATTGGATTGCTGAGTTTCGTCGTAACCGTACGAGCACAAATGATGCACTACGTTCAGGAAGGCCAAATGAGGCAGTTACTCCAGAAAACATCCAGAAAATCAGTGAAATCGTGTTGAATGACCGCAAAATGAAATTGAGTGAGCTAGCTAACATCATAGGCATCTCAAAGGAACGCGTTGGTCATATCATTCATGAATATTTACACATGAAAAAGCTTTGCGCGCGTTGGGTGCCGCGTTTTTGACAATTGAGCAAAAAGCGGAACGTGTTCGACTTTCAAAGCAAAATCTGGCCCTGTTTAACCGCAATAAGAAGGAGTTTTTGCGTCGATTTGTCACAATGGATGAAACATGGATCCATCATTACACACCGGAGTCCAATCGGCAGTCAGCGGAGTGGTTATTGCCTGGTGAAAGCCGTCCGAAGCGCCCGAAGACACAACAATCAGCCGGCAAGGTTTTGGCCAGTATTTTTTGGGATGCGCATAACATAATATTCATTGATTATTTTGAACATGGTAAAACTATCAATAAAGAATATTACTGTACATTACTGGATCGATTGGACGACGAGGTCAAGGTCAAACGGCCACATTTGGCAAAGAAAAAAATTTTGTTTCACCAAGACAATGCTCCAGCTCACTCGGCTCGCGATACGACCGATAAATTAAAGAAATTGCGCTATGAATTGGTCCCGAATCCCCCGTATTCTCCAGACCTGGCCCCCAGCGACTATTTCCTTTTTCCCCGACTGAAGCAGTGGCTCGCTGGTAAAAGATTTTACTCGAATGAGGAGGTCAAGTTGGAAACAAATGCCTATTTTGAGGGACTTGACACCGAGCACTATAAGACCGGCATCGAAATGTTAGCGGACCGTTACACTAAGTGCATTACTCTAAATGGAGATTATGTCGAGGAATAAAATACTTTTTTCATTAAAAAAATCGTTTTTTCATTGTTAAGCCAAAGACTTTTCAGCCCATGTAGTAGGCAGCGCGCGGAGCGGTGAGATAAAGGGAATAGCGGTGGGCGGAGATAGTCGAAAATCGGCCGTCGCGTGCACATTTTGCCGAGCTCTGTTATAGAACAACGTGTTGTCCTTCCATTTGCCGCTCTTAGTACTACGTTTAAATTCGCATCGATATGTGACCACTAAATGCCCGCAATTACAATTACAAGGTCATTTTGTGAGATATCAGAAATAGCTTATATTGAAACCGTAAAAAGCTTTACGATAGAAAAAGTCAAAGGGAAGGAAGCCGCAGGAACCGAGGGAGCCTACATTGAACCAAACATTTTCTTCTACGTATTATAAAGAAAGTGTCAGAAATCTATATGATAATCAGTATGATATTAACAATAGGAGAAACTCAGTTATCTATCGTATAAATGCAAAAAGAGAACTTCGAAAATCAATTGTTAACTTAACTTACGATAGGCTTCCGTTAACCTATTTACATCACAGCTCTAAATATGCAACTAACTTCAGAAATCGGAGATGTTCAACTGACAGTTGGCCTGTATTACCGCGCATTAACGCACGTGATTCGCAAAAAGTGAACGTCGTGAGCGTATTATTCCGCGGTCGGTGATAAGTGAACATTGTGACTCACGGAATATTCCGCGACTGGTAATAAATGACAATCATTATGTGCGGATTATTCTGCTTACAGATGCAAATGGGTTAATCGGTTTGTGAAGAAAGAAACGTTACGAAACGATAAAAGAATTCAATGTTATAAATAATATCCTTACGAGAGGAAACGATCGAGAATCAATTACGAATTTGCGATACTCCTTTATCAATATAGGATTCATAATTACGATGTAACACGATAAGAAACAAAATAAGAATTGTGTATATCGTAAAAATAACAAAATTACGAAAAAGAAAGATAAAGGATCTATCATACGATAGGCTTTCCTAAATTTATTATTCACAATAGAGATAGAAAATCGATGCGATCATTTTCTATTGTTCTTTTTTATTTTTTATCAGAGTTACGATAAATGTTCCTTCAAAAATATTCGAATACGCATGTCAAAGCATAAAATCTCTGCTGCGTTTTCTTTGCAGATATCTTTGCACGAAACAGCAATTACAATTTAGTATTCTGCTTGAGACGATTCCATTCACATGTTTTCGAAATAAGATTATTTCGTAGCAACGAAAAGTTATCATTTCTAAACCAAAGGTAACTTACAGATTTCCGCTTAACGAAAGCCTATTGTAAATTCATGATTGATTCTTTATGTTCTCTTTTCATAAATATCTTATTAGAAAATTAGAAAGTTGTACGAAATACTTAACCATAATGTGTTACGTTCTTCGTAATTATGCGATAGAAAAATATCTACTTTTTAATAACTTCACTATAAATTACGACGCGTCTTCTATCATAATTCTACCTAGTGATCAATTTTATATTTATACATGATAAAGGACTTTGAGTTTCTCCTATCGTTAATATCATACTGATCATGACAGATTTTCGACACATTTTTACGATACGCGCGAGAAAATGTTTGGTTGAAAGTGAATGTAGGTTTCTTCGGTTTTTATGGTTTCCTCTCGTTTGATTTTTTTTGTCATAAAAGCTTTTTACGGTTTCAATATAAGCTATTTCTGCTGCCTCATAAAATGGCCTTATGATTGTAATCGCGGATATTTAGCAGTCACATATCGATGCGAATTTAAACGTGGTACTAAGAACGACGAGTGGAAGGACAACGCGTCACTACTTACTTAATCTCGCATCGATATGACTGCTAAACATTCGCAATTACAATTACACGGTCATTCTATGAGACAGCGAAAATTGAACTGTGTCTAATCGTGAATATTTAGCGGCCATATCGATATGAGTTTAAGCACGGTGCGATGTAATGTAAGAACGGCGAAATAATAAACGCGCATGCAGCGTTATCCTTCCATTCGCCGCGCGACAATTACTTGAACGATTACTTGAGCCGCACTACAGCTCGAGAACGGCGTAAAGGACTCCTTCTACTATCTCGGCGCGCGCTCATCCATTTGATTTCTATAATTAACTTGGTAATTATTGCGAACATCGCGGTATGAGGCTTGTTTGTTCACTTTAATGCGTTCTATACTTCCATAAACTGTGACATAATTATTCTGGTAGACCCTGTATATTATAACAGTAAATATAGTAACACGTCACACAGTCAGAATGGAAAATTGCGTGAAATCAGCTCGGGAAACGGTATATATTAAATAAGAATGTAAATTGTATCTTTCCTAAACTCTTCCAACTTGTAACTAATTTCTTCCAGTAGTCTTTTTTTGGATGCGTTATAGTGTATATTTCAGTATACTTTTCCGTCCACATTTATTACACGTATCTACGTTATATTCCATTTTGAGATTCTCCTTTTCTCGCATGTCGGTAAATTTTGCCAGAATCGAAGAACATGTTGCCCAGGTAGCGTAAATGTTTTAAGAAATGCTATAAAAGGCATGTAAAAAAAGACATTATGAATCTGTCAAAGGATTTCTTTACGTCTCGCGATGGTTTCAGGAACTTTGAAAGAAATAACACATGTTGGTCTCGCGGCTAAAGTGTATTTAATTTCTTATCGAGTGAAAGAAAGCACGGCGCGATCGTATTCTTCGCTGAGCAATTTTGTGCGGAATTTGTTATCCGTTAAACCCATTTTAGACAATCTGTAAATCTACCAGATGGAATATTCCTGGGACAAAATTCTATGTATGATTTGGTATCCTGCGTAATATTCGAGATATTGTTAAGCAATGATAAATTTATTTCAATCATTTAACAGTAATAATTTCAACATCAATCATCTTATCTTTATCACTTTGGATATAAGTATTTTAACATTTAATGATGAAACGACAAAATGTCTTAATAATGAAGATTTCGAGATCAAATTTCTCCCGAATTGTGAACATTGTCTCTCCAAAGAGTTCGTGACACTCTTCCTTCATAATTGTACCTACAACCTGACATAGAATTGTAGATAGAATTCTGTCCCAAATTGAAGAGACTTCCTTTATTTCTAGACTCTATTCACCAAATCTACATTTTTTAAAGATTAAGCATCACGTTGAGGAGCCATGCAGAAAGCTGCTTTAAATCCGCACTCTTCAGAAACATAAACTATACGTTGCAAGACTATGAGACTTAACGTATAATAATCCCCACTGTCGAGGAATGCGTGTTGATTTTTTTCGTGATTTTTCGGAATATTCAATTTTGGAAAATACGAACTCGAAAGAGAAAGGGTATAGAATTAGGTTTTTTGATCCTGGCCCGTACCAATCGTCTAAAATGGGTCTGATATCGAGGTCGTCGGCAGTTATCGGTTCCCGGTGTGAAGTGTAGTTAGACTAAGTTTCTCCTCTATCTGTTTCCTCGGAAGACGCCCGGCTGTCTCGGAGAGCACGAAAAGTCGTCCGTCGCGATCAACACGTCTGGAGAACTCGTCGGAAAGATCGCGCGAATAAAGAAGGATCGTTGTGTGGGCAACACGATTACGCCCTGCCGTTGGGTGATCTGCCACGCGAAGGCGAAGCAGACGGGGACGGATCCGGGCTGCATCCGTTACTGCTGCCGCGACGACTTCCTGTACCACCAGCCTTCAGGCGCACCATGGTGTCCAAGTGGCGAAACCTGTGTAGAAACATGTATAGACACAAAAATATAGAAGTAGAAGAAAATAATGTGCAAACAATAATATAGAACAAGGTAAAATAAAGACCGCTGTATTTTCTCAGAATGAAAAAAAATGTTTCTCTCTCTCTCTCTCTCTCTCTCTCTCTCTCTCTCTCTCTCTCTCTCTTTCAGAATATTACTACACATATATGAAGGCATGAGATAAAGAGAGAATTGTAAACAACGATTGAATTTTACAAATGCAAAATTACACGAGAAATGGAGAGCACGACACGAGGACAGGAGATTTTATCCCTCATTTAAGGAGTTAGGCCACTTTGGACGAGTCAAAATTAGTGTCATTTTTGGGAATTTCTTCTGAGATCATAACAAAAGAAATACAAAAATGAAAATAAAGTATTTATTAAGCAACCCTTTAAAGGAAAAAAAGTATTTTTTTTGTAAATATTTTAAACAAAATTTTGAAGCCCAGACATTTTTTGACCGACGCTTTCAGCGGTGTTCAGTCTCACAGCTACAGCATTGGTAAAACAAAGACGAAACCATTTTTATTATCTAGATGCCAAAAATTGAAGAAATACATATGGATTTTGCGAAATATTAAAAACTTTTGTTGCAATTAACACTTCTGCACGAAATTTTTAGGTCCAAACATGAAATTTTTTAAGTGTTTACCATTTCTACAAAAATAAATATTTCTAAACATCCATATGTACTGCTTCAGTTTCTGACATCTAGATAATAAAAATTTTTTCGTTTTTGTTTTACGTTCAATGCTGTGAGACCGCTGAGAGCATTGGTCAAAAAGGGCTCCGAGTGTCTCCGCTTCAACGTCACCATTTTGTTTAAAATATTTACAAAAAAAAATACTTTTTTTTCTCTTAAAGAGTTGCTTAATAAATACCTTATTTTCATTTTTGTATTTTTTTTGTTATGTCCTCAGAAAAAATTTCCGAAAATGACAATGATTTTGACCCGTCCAAAGTGACCTAGCCCTTTAAATGTATCCTCATGTAAAAACTAAATATTTCATAAAATTTACTTCTGTCGATTTTGCCTTGATATTTTTGCGCACAAAATAAGTTATGAATAGATAAGAGGAAATAACAATAGGAATAAATTAATAACCGGATATTAGGATGTAATACTCGAGAAAAACATCTGAGTTAATTTGGAATTAACAGCCTTATAAATGAATACACGTGGAATTATTTTGCAGATACTGGAGCATACCGCCGAGCAGACGGTTCGCTCAAACTGTGATTCGTGATACGAATCCAAAACGGTAGATGACGGGAAGAAAATAAGTGATAAAAGAAAAAGTCAAAGCACGCATACGCAAAGAACGAGTAAAAATGGATGACGAGGAGAAAGTCCAGCGCATGCGAAGGTGTCAATAAGCTTATTATGTAACTTTGAACGACTATATCACTTTCTATCGTTAAGCTTGGCGACGCGGCTATTATGTGATATGTTGTACTTGCGCAATGACGTGTAACGATGACGTTATCGTTAGACGTATTATCGTTAGAAGGCTAGAATAGGCATGCTCCGATACCGGAACGTTTCGAGCCCTTCTCTGTGGGCTTTATTCTGAAACGACTGAACTCAGTGCACAATCGAATGTCGTTATAGTAGCGGTCGGCGATAGGGTGGAAGGAATGCATTATTTGTCTCTGCACATAATAGTGGCGAACATGATATCGACGCCGGAAGTGTGTGACATTACAACACCCTCCCCTCCCTACACACACATACACGCATGCTCGCATGTACATAAATATACAATGTAGCCGTTCACGCGATAATGCATTGGCGCAAAATTTGCGCGACTCGTTACTTTTTAACTTATTTCAGCACGTTTTAAGAAGAAATTCTTTTTATGAGCGAAGAAGCGTCGAGGGAACTTGGACTGAATTCCTAAACGCGCTCTTCGAACGCATTTCTTGCGAGACAAAATCGATCCGACGTTTAGCGGGAGATGAAAATCGCGCATACGGATTTATTTACGGGAACGGAATTCGTAAATGAACATAACTTGTTCCAAAAAATAAACTCGGGCTGATTATAATAAAGTAAGAGAGTACCTAAGCGACACTTCGCTTCTATCAGCAGCTTCCTTCGCCTGCATCAGGTATTCAAGTGGCCAGGATATCCAGGATCGTCTGTAGCGATAAGAATAATTCCATCCAATTATTCTCGAACGTACGCACGCGCGGGCGGTTTAACGAACTGACGTGATCAACTTACGTTCCGGTCTGCGTATTTGACCCGACACCGCCGATCGTCGTTTGCGTGTCGAGCTTAGATCCTGCTCTGTTCGGAGTCTTTGTGAAGCCTGGCTGGATAGCAGGATCAGACACCATACGCACGAAGAATGACCTTCGTTGCTCCAGAGTGGCTTTTCTCTTCTTCTCGCGGATGTCTGCCAATTCATCCATCACATCCTGCGAGAATTTTAATGAACCCTTAACGTATGATGGGCGGAAATTCTTCTCTTACAGCATATTAAAATAGTGTTCGAACTCACCTTAGATTCCAATATTTCGGCTAGGTAATCCGTTATAATGCTCCATGCAACATCTTAAATATTACATCATTAATTCAAGACATATACCATAGTTGCTTGAAGAAATCCTTGGAATTTAATCGCACAACACCATTTTCCTTCCCGGAGGAGGGAAAAATTTTATTGAATTTATTCAGGAAGGGAAATATAGGACTACTGAAAGTTCTAATATTAGGAGATTGAATTAGTTCTGATCCCTAGCAATAGATGGCTTTAATAACAAGTTAACGGTTAGTACGAATGTTGAAATCTGGCAACACACACACATACACACACAGACACTGAAAAGTTTGACATTTCTCTATGACATATGACAATCTACGCGCTATTGTTACTGATAGTTTCATTGTTTATATGTGTCTAAAATGGATCAAAATTGCATTTTCGACATTCATTACTTTTTTTGTTCGATTTGAAAAAATCGGCAACTGAAGCTCATGAAATACTTGTTAAAATTTATGATGATCAAGCTCTATCGTATTGCAACTGTAAATTTTGGTTTCATCGATTCAAAAGTAGTGATTTCGATTTGAGTGACAAAAAACGTACTGGCCAACCAAGAAAATCCGAAGATTCTGAATTGCGACCATTATTGAATGAAAATACCGCTTAAACGGAAAAATAACTGACTGAACAACGTTGATAAATGGATAATTTCTATGGATAATTCTATGGAATATAAATGGATAATGTCTACACGCCATGGGAGAAATTCAAAAGGAAGGCAAGTAGGTCCCACATTCGGGGAGTCGGCTAAACACTAGCGTAGTTCCCCCGGCCGTCCTAGCCGACCCCGAGGAAAGGCATCCCGGTGGGGTTTTAGCCGGCAAGAGTCCGGCATAACCCTCTCCCAAGGGGCGAGGGTATCCATGAGGATTTCTCCATCATGAACAAAAAAAAGTAGGTCCCACATGAATTGAGTGAAAATGTCATTGCAAACCGTTTGAATATCGCCATGTCTTTGCTTGCCAGACAGAAAAAAGAGTTTTTTGTAACAAATTGTAACTGGAGATGAAAAGTGAATTTATTTTTATAATTCAAAGCGAAAAAAATCATGGATTGATCTAGGATGACCATCAACATTGACGATCATGATATCAAAAACATTCACGGTCACAAAGCAATGGTCTATATTTGGTAGGATATGGAAGGTGTGGTGTACTGTGAGCTTCTAAAACCGAATGAAACAGTTACGAGGGAGCGATATAAACAATTGAACAAATTGAGTGATGAATTGATGTAAAAAAGGCCAACGATAGCCAGCAATAAACGCAAAGTGATTCTTTTGCACGATATTCTTTTGCGCGAATGCTCGTCTACATGTTGTTTCAATTATTAAACAAACATTGTTAGAGCTCGAATAAAAAATCCTTCCGCACCCAGCGTACTCTCAAGACCTAGCACCTGATTACCTAGCATCTGATTACCATCTATTCCGATTGATGCAACATGCTTTGGCAGATATACACTTCAATAATTACGACGATGTGCAAAAATGGGTGTCTGATTGGATCGTTTCGAAAAATAGATCGTTCTATCGTCGCGGAATCGCTATGTTGCCAGAAAGATGGGAAAAATCACGGCTAATGACGAAAAATATTCTGATTGATGTAAATTTAACCATTTCTTTAAAATAAAGATAAATAATTGACAAAATAAAACCAGAATTAATTGAGCTTCCTAATAGAAAACAGAATGAAGAGAGATCACACATGATATAAAATATACAAATAACTCACCGATATCCTCGCCGCAGGCGTTAGGCGCAGCAAGCGCAAAACGTATCGTATAGCGTTGATTGACTTGCGCCGGGACCATGTGCAATTTCCCGGAATCGTTAATGGCGCTTAGCAATTTCTGATTCAGCTTGTCGGTGCCTTTGGCGCGAAAGCATACAAGACCCAGCTGCACGATAGAACGACGAAGACACGACGTGACGAACTCGGTCAGATACGGTACGAGGTGTTTTCCAACGAGATGCTTTGTCTTACCACCACTTCGTTACAGACTTCGAACCTGGAGTCCTTTCTAACAAGAGCCTCGAATCTTTTGGCGAGTCGCACGTGGTTTCGGATGTAGGCCTGCAAGCCGGATATTCCGTGAGATCGTATCACGAACCACAGCTTGAGTGAGCGGAATCGTCTGCTCAACGGTATGCTCCAGTGACTGCAAAATAATTTCACATGTATTCATTTAGTGCTTCAATTCCAAATTCTCGATTAACTCAGCTGCTTCTCGGGCATTATATCTTGATATTCGGTTATTTATTGGCTCTTATTGTCATTTCTTCTTATTTATTTTGCAAGTTATTTCGTGCGTAAAAGTATTAAAGGAAGATCGAAAACAGTAAACATTTTATGAAATATTTAGTCTTTATATCAAGATATATTTAGTCCTTATATCAAGATATATTTAAATAAGAAATGTTCACTGTTTGTTGACATCTTAAGCCCACAACTCCATAACTACCATAACTTACTTTAAACGAAGTTTAACTCGTTAAATCTTAAGGGAAATGTTGCGTTTCACGATTGGTAAACTTCGGTTACCGTCTATTTTCCGTGGTTAGAGTTAAACGCTGAATTTTGGGCGTTTAATGAACATAAACGAAATTTGATATTATAGTGTCACAAATTTCGAGGTCAAGATATCTATCGTCCAGCTTTTTAGGGTTACGTTAGTGTAACATCGCGATTTATTGAACGTCGAAAGATAATAAGAAAATAAGTTATACAAAAAGTGAGGAATATATTAAATTTGTTGAAAATTATAGCTTTTAAGTATATATATTATCTTCATCTGAAGATGAAGATTTTGAAGATTTAATTATCAACGCCCGAAAATTCTAAGAAAACGACCATCGTAGAAGTATTTGATAACGTCGATTTTCATGCGTGATTTTGTTTATCCAAAGAATCTGTAATTGCAATGCTAGCAGAAATTGAGCAATTTGTTTTCATTCTTTCTCGCATCCTACTTCCAACTGTTTATTATATCGCAATCTACGTATGTTTGGCAAGAAGGAGATATCTTTGAAACTTTCTTTGTACAGACTATAGGTTTACATAAATTACAGTTATAAATATGACATGGAACGCAATGAAAGTTTAACCAAGTCATGATGCTAAATGTAACAGCTGTTCAGCTAAGCTCGGCTTAAACTCGAATCTGTGGAACTGAGCCTTAATATTTTTATACACAGATTAGCGAGGAGAATATAGTTCACGTATAAAGGCAAATGATTCCATTAAAAATATCTGCCTTTCTTTATTCTAGGTGTTTGATTAAATTTCATTGAATCAATATTATACAAGATACCCTTATACAAGATACAAGATACAAGATCTTTTTGAAACGAAAAATTGTGAAGATTAATCAAATAAAACTGAGAAGAAAAGTCATGCACCATTTTGCGAAAACCGCAATAGTTATTAAGTTATTGATGGTTGAAAATAACCATATTTAGAGGCTCTTTTAATTGGTAATTTGAAAATTTGCGTACTTATTTGCAAAATGGTAAAGGGCTTTTTTGTTTAGAATGACCTAATCTACAATTACATGACGGCTATTGTGTCAGGACAGGTTCAAGCTTCAGGGTTCAAAGTTCAATATACTCATATCTATTGCAATACACAATAGGTGTCACAATAGGAGTGACCTAATCTACAATATAATTGTAGATTAGGTCACTCTGAACAAAAAAGTCCTTTACCATTTTGCAAATAAATACGCAAATTTTCAAGTTATCAATTCTTAAAAAAGCTTCCAGATGTGGTCATTTTCAATCATTAATAACTTAATAACTATTGCGATTTTTGCAAAATGGTACTTAATTTTTTCCTCAGTTTAATCTGATTAATCTTCACAATTTTTCGTTTCCAAAAGACCTTCCCCCGGACACTTTGTATAATTGCAAGCAAGTACACTTCAATTTACCGATAATCTATAGTCGTGTCCGCGTGGGTATGCTTGAGGTACAACGGGTCCACCACGAGAGCGCTGGTCAGCTTGAATCTATCTCGCACCCAGAGACAAGAACAGTCAAAATTCGTCAACAGGAACTTGTTTGTATTGGTATTGAAGGAATCGGCATATTCAATGCCGGCCATCAGGTATTTCAATTCCGGGCAAATGAAAGCGTTCCCTGCATAAGCGGCATCCACGTGAAGCCAGATCTGAAGACAGAAATTCTTGATATCCCGCGACGTCGACTGAGCGACGACAGGCGCGACGAAAAGAGCGAACAACCGACGATAGCTGGAACTATCGTCAAATATACGTAACATCACGCTTACCCCTGAGTATTTCTTGCAAACCGGCCCGATCTCCTTGAGGTTATCGAACGAACAGCAGGCGGTCGTGCCGAGTGTCGTCGAGACGAAGAAAGGAACGTAGCCCTGGGCTATGTCCTTCTCGATCGCCTGTTAACCGAAACGCGGTGAAACGAGAACATTTACCGAGGGTTTATCTGGCTTGTTACATGCTTTCGAATTGCTGTCCCATCACTTTACCATATCATCACTATGCACAATGTATTAACACGTTGAATACTGTGGTCGTCACCGGTGATCGATACCATCGAGTTTCATTGAATTATGTATTATGTAATATAAAGTACAGAGTGTTCCACGGGAAGGTGCTGAAATTAAACATTAGTTCTCCCCTTCATAACTTTAGAACTGGTATTAAGGTTAATAGCAGTCCGCCTGAGGGTCTGCAGTTTTATTCTGGTTGTGGTAGAAGCAAGTCTGCGCGTCAAAATAGGTAATCTGACGACGGAAGAGAAAGTCTATCTTATCGAGTGCTTCTTTTCTAGAGGAAAAGTATACAGTAGTGCTTATAGGGGGTTTTGTACTATTGTACAATAAATACGGAACACGGAATTACGAGCGAAAACACACTGAATAAGTTAGAATTCATTAATTATTTGAACTTAGGTGTTACGTCACTCCATTTTTTGGTAATAAATCTGCATTTTAATAATTTGTTATGTTATTTTTAACAGAATTATCAATAATTTTACGCAATATGGAACTACTCAAGACTGTAGATACGATCTGCTAGATCCTTCTGTGTCTGTAGCTGTAGATGAAAATAATGAAGAAATTAGGAATTATTTTAAACAAAATCCAAATACTTCCATTCAGAAAGCTGCCCAAGTCCTTCAAATATCGAAAACAACGGTACACAGGATTTTAAAACGTTTCCTGAACGTGATCCGTATAAAATAACATCTCCTCAGTTGCTAACCGAACGTGCTATGACGAAACGTGTTTAACCATGTGACTTTTTTCTTTGGGGATGCATAAAGACAATTGTTATGTTAAAAATCCAAAAACGATGCCAGATTTAGTAGCAGCTATTAAAAAGGTCGCCAGTAATATTAAAGACATGTTAGAAAAAGTTTTTACGAATTTCGCAAATTAATTGAGTTTGTATAAATTCAGATGATGTGCACTTCGAAAACGTTTATCGCTAGCTTATTTGATAATTAGCATACTTAAAAAATAAATAAATTGATACACTAACATTTTTTAAAATTTTATTTATACCTATTAAAAACTGCAGACTTTACTCTTTTCAACGCAATTTTTGTTTTTACAGTAACTGAATACATTCGAAAAGCTAAATAGTTTCAGCAACTTCGCATAGAACACCCTATATAATCAGTCGCGTTTGGAAAGTTACTTGTACGACAAACATAAAACCAACGAACGAAACGAGATCAAAGATACATGCCTTTTGAATTATATCGCTTTATCATATCTTTGATAATTCAATCGTCAGTTGAGCCTTGGTGCGATCGACGAGACACCAACACGGCAGTCAGCGTGTTACAATTTTTACGAACTTGCGAAATTCTTTAGAAATTTCTTCGCCAGATTTCTCTGATTAATGCTAACAAAACAGCACCCGTCATTCTTAATCTGTAAAAATACTCTCTATCCGCGAGGTATACTACCTTTCGCTACTTTTCAGGTAATTATCTGATTTTGCATTTGTAAAATGACTTATCTTTGATGAAAGTCAAGGACGATCCAACGGACTTTCGCAAGCTCGTGACACGTTTGCGCTTAAAGATGACTGAAAATCGTGAAAGTCTCGTTTCCACCAGCTAATATTGTACGCTAACGATGCTGCGGGAAACGCACCTGCTGCAAGGTCTCGCCGCGAAGCACGCTCTTCTCGTCGGGCTCGAGGATGCGCAGCGTCACAAAACATATCATCGCGTCCTTCTCGACGCAACTATGACTCTCCCGGCTGCAATACGCCATCAGCTTGCCGAGCAGTACGGTTTCGTCCAAGTGTGCGTACGCGGGGGATGCCTTGAGCCTAGCAATTGCTTGCGCCCGAGCAGCCAGCATGCACACAAGGACGCATTCCGACGCCGAGCCCTATATAGTTTCGTTAATCGACCTTTGACATTCGCGTACCGCCCGGGGATCCCGCGTGTCGTAATTCTAATTTCAGTCACGAACGTTGGACACGGCCGGGCGGCCGTGGTACTTTTAGCACTCGGCAATCGAGGGTTTTTTCGCCGTTATTGAATCCTTTATGTGGAATACGTTATACAGGCTACGTGTCAGAATCACCGGGCGATTTTCACGACTACGAGAGCCGCTAATCCTCATGGTTTCCTGACTTTGATTCGAGTGTCTTCGCGATTACAGTCTGTTTATTAAGAACGTGACTGACGTAACTTTTAAGCTGTTTGTTATAAAGAAAAAGAAAAATTACATATGTACTACTCAGTCAGTGCTATGCCGCTTTTATATGAATAGGTCGTCCAATCACCGGCGTTGTCAATTATTGCCTGACATCTTCATATTTTCGACATATTGTTAAGGTAAAAATCGCCATATCAAACGCAGCCGTCGAGATAGTTGTTTCACTGTATATACTTTTCCTTCACGTAACTTCATCTTTATTACTCATTTTCTTCACCAAACATTTTCAATAGGATTTGCATCTGGTGATTGTGACGGCCAGTCTAATGTTTCGATATTATTTTCTTCTTTCCATTGACAGCAAAGATGACTTCGACGTTTCGGATCGTTGTTTTCTTGCAAAATCCAGTCTTAATTTTCGCCTGGAAACCACTTTTCAATAGATGGTATCAATGTTCTTTAATAAATAAATTTTAGCCATCTTTTTCGCATCCAAATTTTCTAAATAAATGGAGATAAAGTTCCAAATCCTTGGTTGGAAAAGCAGCCCCAGATATTCATCTTTGCCGGATATTTTACGGTCCGTTGGGTAAATTTGCTCATAGGAGTAGACTAAGTTCGACTGATAGTATCGCGTAAAGAAGATTCATCGGGAAAAATATCACTCTTCCATTCATTCTTTGAGATGCGTGCAGAGAAAAACAGCTTCGAATCTTTTGACGTATATACTACTCATTGCTAAATACGTCGTTTTTTAGAAACTCTTCGCAAATTGCGTCATACGAGAAGAGCCTTTCTATCTGCTCATTCAAATGTTTCGGTTTTCAAACAGATTTTCAACAATTATGTCGGTCACGCTCTTAATAAACAGACTGTAAGTCGCTAATTGACATTTCGCCCAAGCAACGTCCGGTCGATTTCACCGAATCGACAGAAGAGACTGGATTGGGTTGGTCTCGCGTTTATGTTGACCCCTCCGATACGTTCCACGTGGTATTTATCTTTTTAGAACATAACCACTTTCCGACACTTTTAAATCTCTTTTAATTCTCTACTTGAATAGTTGTTGAATTATAATTGTTTTGCTCGCGAAGAGATGACTAGCATCGACACTTCTCGAGTGCGAGCACTTTAAGGGCCTTTTGTTAACGGTTCAGAGAAAAACAATGGAAAAATATGGCAAAGAGAGTGTTTTTAGAACACAGGCGCTCTCTTGTGCTCTAAAAGGAGCACTTCACGATTTCCTCTTCCACCTGTTTCTCTCTGAACCGTTCAATTAACGAAAAGCCCTTAACTTCTGCTCGCATTTGCATGCCAGTCATCTCCGTGAATAAATCGATTACAAATCAAGCAGAGATTGAAAAATGTATCGAAAGAACAAGTCCGACGATTCTGTAACACCTTCCGTCATTTGCACCATTCTGAATATCGAACGAATGTAGAGATGTGCGAATCAAGAATTTTTATGTCGAATCGAATCTATGAAATTTCATTCGAATTCGAATTGAATCGAATCGTTAAAAAATTTAACATGATTATTAAACATGCAAATAATGATGGAAGATTTTAATATTGGAAAGAGAATATTGATATTGTAATATATCATCTTAAAATAAAATATATATTTAAATATTTAAAGTAATTTATAATTAAGTTATTAATTATAAGTTAAGTTAATTATAAGTTAAAGGTTCAAACATACAGGTCCGGATGGCCCGTTTTCTAGTTGATGCGCGCAAACGCTAATCTATTTGATTCGTATTCGAATCTTCGCGATTTGAAATTTTCGAATTATTCGGATTCGAATCATAGGGATTCGGATTCGAATCGAATTGAATTCGAATAGTTCGCACATCTCTAAACGAATGTATATTTTCAACGATACCTGTATAACGCCGCCGCCGTTGCTGCCTTCGCTGAAGTACAGGAAGTCCGTCGGCAGTCCGATTGCCTTGCCTGCGATTTCAGAAGAGCGATGCGCGTGAGCTAACGATTCGCGAGAAGTCGCTCGCTAAATGATCGTCATATTCCGATATGAAAATATATCATGAAAGAGAGGATTACCGAACCAATCGCAGACTATCGTCTCAAGCTCCGTGCAGGCTGGACTGGCCGCCTAAAGCAAACAAGATTCGAGCTTAGGCATTATTGGGCAAATAATCGGGCGCGATCCGTCACGCCGATTTGACGCGAGATCGGGTCGCTTCCGAATTTCTGACGTCGACGAGAAAATCAGTGCGGGTCTCTCTCTCTCTCTCTCTCTCTCTCTCTCTCTCTCTCTCTCAGGCAGCCGCCGTTCCGTCGAGCGACGGCAATTCGTTTAATTATAGCTTCGCGTGTAGGATTCATCCCCGTGTGGTTTCTTAGACCGCATCCCCGAAGAAATTTCTCGCTCACCCAAGAAAATCCAATGCAGCCGATCGCGTTGGACAGCATGTCACCGAGAATAGAGGGAAAGGAATTTCCCGCCGGGAAGTAGGCGTGGAACCTTGGGTGCTGCCAATGCGTGATCTGGAAGAAAGTTCATCCGGCTCGCAGAAGCGCACTTTGCACTCGTCGCGCGGATCGCGAAGCATGTGGAAATCTCGTATTGACTCTGCGACTCCACTTTTGTGAGACACACGCCAATCATCCTGTTCCAATTGCACCGCGCAGGATGCGGGGAAAATTTAGTCGTATCGCAACAACCAAGTAATCTAATTTAATCAAACGTAAACAGTGCGCCTCGCGAATATTCTCGAGAAGAGTTTGCGTGAACGTGTGCAAATCTTGAAGAATAAAATCGCGGCTGAAATGAACGAACAAAGTCAGGCGGAATAAGAGAGAAAAGGAGGAAGCGTATCGCATGTAGGACTATGCGTGATTCTAAAGGAGAATTTAATCAGTTTAGTAGCTCCCTGAGAGAGCAATAATCTACGAGCTGATCGGCGGACAATTCTACATATTCCCGGTATGTTTCGCGAAACTCATTCCTTCTCTCATACCACCCCCGAGGCATTCGCGAGGTACTCACCCCCGGCATGATCTTCGATTCCACGTCCTTCATGATCTCATCCCACGACTCCGGATCATTCGGCGGATCTGACGGCAGCAGAGGCCTGAGATAGCCGGGGTCGATGTCTGGCGTGACCCTTCTGGTATGAATGGTGCTCACAAACTCACAGATGTATTCTATCATCTGCTTGCCGCAAGCGCGAAACGTCTCGATGTCCATGGCGAGACTGCTCTTTTACGCTCAACTCGACGACCTTCGCACATCAAATTAACGACAAAAATTCAAATTTCAGGCATCTCGCGTGAACGAAGTACGACACGCAGAAAACTATTCGGTTGATACAGTTGAATTTTAGTTACGACAAGCGAAACTTTCCGTTTCTCAAAAGTCAACTGAAAACTCGCTTGCAACACGAGAGAAATTCCGTTAGGAGGTTTCTATTGTCTCAGAAATATATTTGGTCACCGAACATTAATGTTACTAAAGGTACTAGTTTCATTCTTCACACAGATAAACGCGGCATTTCTGTTTATGTAAGTGGAGGGGAAAAACACCTGCGCGCTCGGGTTGGAAATCGCGTCACTGGCGGCGTCATTCGACTTCTTCAAACGAATCTCTTCAGTCGAGGTAACTGGGATCTCGTTTCTTTTTACGATATAGTTTCACACCGAGTACTCTGCTGCGGTAACAATATTTCGAAATGGAAAATTTTAGTTCCTTCAATCGAAAGCAGTTGTTGAGCACTGAATGGCTCTTCGGTTTGCGAAATATAATTTTCTGCTGCTGCAAATCGAAGCTCATGTAAGAAAAAATTTCTGATCGTCACTACAGAATATTTTTCTGCATGCGTAGCATCTTACGTGTTTCTCTTAAGGTATCCCTTTTCTCTCTTAAGTTTCCTCGTTACAAGTATCGATAACTATTGCGATATTTGCTAATCCCACCGATATCTTCGCGCGCTTCGGGTTAATCGATTAATCTGTGCGTTATTAATTAATATTTATCATAGCTTATACTTGAAAAGTCTCCACATGCAAGCGAAGGGCAAATCGCTCGTTTCCTTCTTCAAGTCGATGTAAACTGGTACACTTGCAGTGACTTAACTTTCAATTTCTCCGATCGTTACTCACGTTAGTATCTTCGATACCCGACGACCCGTCATCAACATAATTCCGGACGTCTGAAAAACGCGTTATCACATCGTTCCCGTTGCTCCTCACGAATTTCTTTCTCCCTTACACAGTTATTGGCATTTTACCGTAAACATTGGGAATTAGCGGTGCACTTTTCATTTACAACGGGCGTGCATACTTGATGCACATCTTCGGAATTTTACACTCCTTCTCAAGCGGAAGGGAAGAAACAGAGCAAAGTTACGTCTCTCACTGCAAACCGATCGAGTGGAGCGCGACCGTTTCGAGTGAGACTTTCCAGGTGCGGTTCCCTCGACTATAGTGTCCTTCAACCGAATACGACAACCTCGTTTGACACGTTTTACACCACATACTGTCACAATGTGCCACGTGCGAATCGACCTATCAAACCGACGCGATTCTTTTTGTCTCGCTCTGGCAAAAATACACCTCGACCATGACGTGCTCACGCTTTCATGTAATTTCTTTTTTTTTTTAATCGCTCCTGCCCGCGGCCTGTCGTCACTCTCGCGCACTCGCAATCTCGCGATATCGCAAAATTCGCGGAGACCACGCGCGGACTGCCAGCGGAGGCTGCCTGCATTCTCCTACCTGTTGCTGATAACAGTGATGTGGGTGACACGGTGATGCCCGGCGAGCTTACGTTGGATCGGATGACAACCGTACTGAACTGAACAATCCGAACCAGCGTTCACCATCCACCGCGGAGATATAGCGGAGCCTCCAGGGCGCAAAATTCCGTTCGGCGGGTCCTGCGCAAACGCAGGTCCTTCTTCGCCCGCAGGACTTCTTCGGGGTTTCGCAAAAAGACGCGCGCCGTCGCGTACTGCTCTCTCTCACGCTCGCGCGCCTGTTCTGACGCGATCGCGATCTACTTGAAATGTACGCGCGCGTACGTGTGTAAATGTGTGTATATTGTGTGCATGTGTGTGTGTGTCTTCGTACGTACGTCGGCTTCTGCCGAAGATCGCCTTGGTGAAATCAATTTGCTGCTGCGCGAAAACTTTTATACGAAAATTATACGAATCGACTTGCAAATTAGAAACCTACGTCTGTGTATGTGTATGTGAGAAAAAGGAATATTAAACATGGCGCAGGGATGTCCTGTTCTAATTCTATTATCTTAATTTTTTCTTTATTCCACACACATACACCGGACTTTTTTCATAAATATCAGGCTAATTTATTTTGCATATTCGATATGCAAAATATATCTCTCCCATTTGAGTTCTCCATAGGGTGAGGAAAAATAGATATTTATTCATGCGCGATCAGGAAGTCTCATAAATTTCGTAAAATAGCTGAAGACACACATCGTAATGGCCGAGCTAGATAAGATGATAATATAAAATGAAAGATTATTTGATGACTTCGTGACATAAACATGGACGGGGGAGGGGGTAAAATTCTGCACAGTTTATTGTGTAACTGAAATATAATAAATTAATCGAAATAATAACAAAGTTGGAGTATATAACAATACACTTTGTAACAGAAGTTTCTGGAAGGCAATGACTCGTGAAAGAAATCTTCAACAATCCCGTCGACACGGGTGGAAAAGATCGGGGGAAAATTGGCGGTTAAGCGGAACGGCGAGGAGGAGATCGAATTTTCTTCAATGAGGAATCTCATTCTCTGCGACGTGATAGACTCAGAAATATTCATACAATCGTTCGGATCACGTTCTCCGTCCTTTGGCTGGAACACCCCTGCAAAGGATCTCTCTCTCCACTATGTTCGTTATTTCGCGTTGGAAATCTACCGTGGAGGCCGGATTCATCCATGCGAGGTGTTTCAGGACTACTGGATGTCCTCTCGACCGTGTATCTTCTTGGATCAGTTCGGGATCGATCTCACTTCGATGCGAACTAGTCGAGAGGGATTACGATCACCGAAAAGAATATTATACTTGTAAATAATTTCTCCTATAGTATCATACCCTAAGCAAACCCTTTTATAGAAAGAGGATTCCTCTTTCGATAAAGCAAAAGTCAACCATTTATCTAAAATTTATTAGATATTATTCTAATTGTTTTCCTCTTATTTCAAAAAGATTTTCTCTTATATCAATTAATTTTCCTCTTAAATGAAGAGGAATATGTTGATTTGAATGTCGGCTTCTTTTGTTCAGTCATGATGACCTCTAGACATGAAAGAAAAAATAATTATATATCTATGGGTCAGAATATTTGGAACGCTTTTTAAAAAAGGTATGTGTCTTGCTGTAATATACAACGAAGATAATTTATCTATATTTGGTCAAATACAGTTTATAATCTATTGCAAGAAGTTGAATAATATATTCTTTCTTTTAACTATATTTCATACAATTGGTTATAATGAACATTTTTGTAGCTGTAAAGTACATAACAAAACTGATTGGAAATTTATTTGTTATGATGATCTTATTTCATTCGTGCCTACTTATTAGTAGAACTGGAGCCAGAAGTACATATATATATATTACTTTTGGTAAATATGCACATTAGGTCAACCCCCTCAAAAGTTCATGACTTTGATATATGTTGTTAAGGACATGTTCCTGAGTGTTATGCAAAAAGTTGCAGCCGTCGCTCATTGTTTATTAAAAAGTTACTAACAAAAGAATTTTCAAAAATAGAAAATTTTCTGACACCATGTATATATTTAAGAAATGAACACGTATTAATTCTTGAATAGGGGGGCTGTGCTTCCCGCAAGAAGAATTAACTTAATCTTAAATGTCACATTATTATAACTTGCTTCATGTCCTTAATAACATATGTCAACATCGTTGAAATTGGTGAGAGAGATGTAAATAAATCGTGCCTAGACTAGTGCCTAGGTTAGACTGCTGTCGTGTATACAAAAACGTAAATATTTGTTTTAATATATTTATCTCACTTCTTGTTACGTTTAATCACAGTTTTAGTTTAGTTTAGTTGTCTGTATGCTAAGAACCGGTCAACATGTTACTCACGAATTTATTCATTTAACTTACGAATTTAACCAGTTACTAAATTATCTGTGTGAGAAAAAAGTCATTCGCAAAGAAATTCTGTTCTGTAATGAGTAATGTTCTGAAAGTTTTAACCCGTGCTCATTGTTTATAACAAGGTTATGAACAAATGAAGTTTCATAAATTTTTCCATACAGTTAATCCAAACACAGTGTATATATAGAAATGTAGGAAACAGTACATATTATATAAGCGAGAGAGGGGCTTCGCCCCTCCCCCGCACCCTCTCCCCGAATAAATCCTAATCTAACTTATTGCATTTTTATATGAAAAGATTTCCTTAAAACCCATAACACCTAATTGTATGCAGATATAATAAGTTAAATTGGGTTAGGTGATAGATCTTAAGAGAATAAGAGAATTGTTTAACAATGTCCAAAAATATATAAAGATGCAATAAGTTAGGTTAGGTTAGGATTTTCTTGGGGAGGGGCGAAGCCCCTCTCCCGCTCATATGTACTGTTTAATGTATATTGTATCTAAAGAAAATGGGCTCTATCTATAAAATTTCATTTATCTATAGCTTTCTAAAGTGGATCCCCTAAACAGGAATTTTACCTAATTTTTTAATAAACAATGAGTGACATACGAAGAAAAGAAATCCTTGAAAAATTGCATACTGTAATTACAATGTGAACGATTTTACCACATAGCAGAGCTGTGACACACTGACTAAAATTGTAGTCAACTTACGAAGTAAGAATGCTTTACAAAGGAATATAAGGAATCAAAAGATTAACACGTATGTATATAACACGTATGTATATATTACATGCTCCTTCAATGTACATCTAATGATGAAAAATTATCTCCTTATTAAACTGTTTCGAAAAATTACGTTACATTCATACAACTTTTTTGTTAATAACTTTTTAATAAATAATGAGCGACGGCTGCAACTTTTTACATAATACTCAGGAATATATCCTTAACAACATATGTATATCAAGGTCATGAACTTTTGAGGGGGTTGATCTAATGTGCATATTTATCTTATTTTTCGCTATACATTATAATAATTTTTTTTCAAATTAACTAGTATAACCAGTAAGAATAAAGTACAACAAGAATAAATAATAATCTTCTTAAAAAGAGATTAAATAATCTGTATACAAGAGGAAATTTATATTAAAATTGATAAGATTTGCATCATGTAACATATAATCCCTCTAACTTTAAGAATAATGTGTTTATAATATTTTCCTCATAATCTTAAAAATATCCTCTTGAGGCCATATATAAGAATAAAATCCTTTAAAATTTAGATAATTCTGCTTGTTTTGAAATTATTTTTTTGGGTTATCTGCGTCGCAAACGTAGATCTCTCTGTTGATTTAGAAAAAAATCTCTTTATTAAAGGCTGCCGAATCTTTTAATAAGATTAATTAAATAAATAGCGAATCGTCCTTCCCGTACAGATGTGGACCATTTTGTCCGCAAAGTATCTCGCTTCATCGATTGATTTGTGTGACGTTCGGTTTAATGACGGGTCAGACTTTAATTTTCGTCGTCGTTATTATTGAAAGCATTCGCAATATCGAGAAATGACGAAGGATCAGTTTCGTACGACAACTTGAGGCAATTCGAGAATCAAGGTCAAGGATCTAAGAGAATCGGAGAATTTAACGCACGATATTTAGCCACTTGTGCACAATACGTAGATCCATCGACAGTTTTTCTTTCACTTGGTTCGTGACTGGCTCCCTTAGATCCTGCTTGCCTCAAAAATCGAGGACGAGGAGATTCCACACAATGATCCTTCCCCGAGGAGAGACTTCCGTCGAAGAAAGGATCGACCCTGCGAAGGATCCGCGATTAATGGGGCATCCGGTGATCTCGGGTCGTCTTATACACCACCACCTCGTCCACTCGAGTAAATTGGATGCTAGCGTTCTCGCGGTTTATTACGACGCAGAAAAGGGGGGTACGTAGGCATCGTGAAGAGGGTGCCAGCCGCAGAAGACGTTCGTTAATTATTTCCGCCGACAAGGGGAGCGGGGAGGGAAAGTGCCAAGTACGCACGATCTTCGGAAAACTCTTGACCCGCGAAGAATCGGCGATCCTCCAAGACGTCGCGTTTGCGGTACGCGTTTACGAGCCCGCAGCCGGCGGAATCGTAATCGAGATGGGACGAGCGAGAGGACTCCCCTCGTATTCCGCGGTCGGAATTAGTCCGCCGGGTCAATTTGCCGCGGGTAATTATAGCTCGGGGAAAGGTTCGAGAGGTTCGAACGGGTAATCTGGACGCATTACGGAATATTCGTCCGTCGATTACGACGATGCGCCGCGATGCGATATTGATTGCGGGCGGGATTGGTATAAACCCCCAATGTTTTAGCGCGGCAATTAGAACGACGGCCGCCGTTCCCGTCTGAAAAGAAGACCCGCGCGCGAGTCTGCGCATTCGGTGATGTTGGCGGTAGCTGTCGAGAGACGTCACGGCTAAAATGTCACGGAGAGACCGAATGACGCGAACGAGTCAACGGGTCGTGATGTAACTGTGCATGAACGGTGGTAAGATTATGCCGTAATTATTTTCCATTATTCTGTTTGCCGCTTTTCATTCTGTTCGATTCCAGTCGTAGCCGTCAACGAGGTCGTCTCCGTGAGCGAAACTCGAGGATATTTCAGAGAGTCATTCTCAGGGAGAATATATCGTTGTTTGCGCATCAACGCATTTTTCCACGACGAGACAATCTTGTTTCTCAGTGTGACGCAATTAATTTCATATCGCGAGCTTTATCTCACGGAATTTTACTTCTCGAACGCGTTCTCGATCGCGTTGATTTCGCGAGAG